TTTTTTATTCCAAAGAGCGTGCACCTGTGTTTACACTGGAGGCACTTGTCAACAATGCACCACCCTGCCTGCGCTTTCCCTCGTGTCCGTTTCGACTCGAGTCGTCGTCGTCGTCGTCACCACCATCGCCACCACCATCAACCACCATCACCAACGATCGCCACCCCTACAACACTCTTTCCCCAATCGTGTTCAAAGCTAAACCGGTGGCATAACTCTCCACCCTACCAAAGAACACTGTCAATTTTACAAGCTTTCGAGCGAGTTAATGGAATTAACGGATAAATCTGTAAAAATGTTTCAAAAACAAGACTTCGAAATATTCTATTGCATATTTATAATCACACAGGCACCATCTTGTTGAAAAAAAATAATGATAATAATAATGACAAAATGAAGAAATGAAAAAAAAAACAAAAAAAAAGAGAGAGAAGACTAAAAATGGTTTTATCTGTAATGAAATAATTCACATTTCTCGTCGACATATCTCGACGATGACACAACGACGACGACGACGACGACGACGACGACGACGACGACGACGACGACGACGACGACAATGCTTTTATCCTGGATGGACGGAGTACACGCAAACGATTTTGTCGATCGGCAAAAGTATATAGTATATAATACATATATATATACATATACTAGCTGAATAGATCGAAAGTGGGCTGCCGCCATTTTGAAATATATCACGCGACAGAATCAAATTTAAAATCTGTCTCCTCCGTGCTATCTCTATCTATGTATCCTTTTTTTTAGTTATTTATTTATTTATTTATCTATCCAGTCATCCGTCTATACTCTATATCTCTTGCTTTAGTGTCACACACACACACATATATATATATACATAAAACAGAGAGAAAAAGAGAGAGACGGGTAATCGTTCATCTACAGCGTTTGTATATGCGGTGACGCGCAACGCGATCCACGGATATAACGTAATTGCGGATACACCAGGGGTACTAGAAGGGGATGCTGTTATCGTGTGAACCTCGTTCACGACCTATACATATATTTTCTCTCTTTCTCTCTCATCCATTCCCATAGGGGGATGCTGCTGCTGTTTATGGTCGAATAAAAATTTGCCCGCCAGCCAAATATTTTTCCGTCATCGGCCTCGTCGCTCGTTGTCGCCTCGTTCTTGCTTTTTCTTCACCCTTGATTATGCACACACCTATACATAGTTATATATTTACATGCATACATACTGTACCTACATTCTAATCCAATCTTGCATATATGCAACTCTCTCTCTCTCTAATCGTGTATATATAATATATATACTATATACATACTATATATGAACTTATTTTCTCTTATGTGTTTCGAAAAGACGAAATGAAAAAGAAAAAAAAAATGAAAACTCGCTTAGTTCGATCTCGTTCGTTAGTCGTGTCGAGTCCTTTTATACGCGCTATGGAAACGTATGACGTAGTAGAAGGGGGGAAAAAATCGGAAAACACGCGCGCACTCTTTCTTTTTCGGCTCGATCAATGAGGAAAAAAGATTCGAGTGCGTTGGTGAAGGAGAGATCGGTCGCTGTGAACGTGAGTTTTTTTTTTTAAACTAAAACGAAGAAGAAAGAAAAAGAAAAAAATATTATAACGCGTGGAAAGAGAAAATAAATACGCACGATGAATTCGTTGGTACATAATACCTAACGATCTATATAAAAAAAAGAAAAAAAAAAAAAAAAGAATCGTTCTGTGTGTGTTCGCGTTCGTTGCTTCTGTCTGTCCGTCTCTTTCTAGACATCCTATGTGCCGCACGAAAAATCGTCAATATTTGCCGGATCGACGTTTTTATTTCAACGGTATGACATCGATAGTGGGGGGGGGGCAGGTGGGGAAGGGAGGTTGTGTAGTTTCCGCTCTGACAATACTGTCTATATTCCTCTTTCCCTTTCCCTCGCTCTCTTCTCCCCGTCATCTCTTCTTCTTCTCATCATTCGCGCTTTCGTTCGGACCGGCTATCCCTCCTGCTTTGATTTTGAAACGTTACGCTTGAAGGAAACATAAACTAACGGCCATCGAACTCGAAAGAGAATAAGAAAGAACTTACTGTGTGTAAAAACAAGAAAAGAAAAAATCAGAAAAGAAAAAGAAAAAAAAAGGAAAAGAAGAAAAAAAGAAAAAGAAAATTTTCCTCATATTCGTGTCGCATTTTACTCTTATTGTCAATGAAATATTTACGGAGTGAATCAGCTTTATTTTTGACAAAAATTTGCTTGAGAATTCAATCTAAAGAGAGAAAGTTTTTAATAGAAGTTTAGATGAGAGAACCGAAATTTATAGAGTCGTCGCTTCGTCAATATTTTTTATCTGTATTTTTTTTTTTTTTCTTTTTCTTTAAATAAATAGTATTTTATACCGATTAATAAAAATAAAATAAATTAAACAATATTGTTTAGTAACAAAGAAAACGATTTTATACTAACACTTACATTAATATCGAGTCAGTCCAAAAGTTCGTGCACATTTTTTGCGAAATTTATAAATAGCGTAATGCGCACGAACTTCTGGACTGACCTGATATTTATTTGTATATATACCGACCATTTATTGAAAAAAAAATATTTAACAATTATTCGTCAATTTGGAGACAAAAATTTCAGCATTGTCTGCATTTTTTTCTCAATGATTAACTTTTGGAAAAATGATTCGTAAATTTGAAACCATTCCTTCCTCGACAAAGACAAAGTGATTAGGGTCCAGGTATAAAGATGCAACTCGTAGATAATTTCTTAACGATCTTTTCTTTTTTTTCGTCTTCCCTGAAATGAAGCAACGTTCATCATACTAGATGATATACGATCGTGTAGTGACCCGTTCGAAAGGACCCACAACGTTAAATGCTTCGCGAAGCGTGGAGATAGTTTTACGCCTCAACGCCGATAGACGGGAGTATGCGAGAACGATCCCATCGTTTTACGACGTTCGATATTCGATTTAGTGCTACGTCTAGTCTAAAATCTATTTACGAGTTTGTTTTACCAAAAAAAAAAAAAGAAACAGAAAAAAAAGAATTCCAAGATTAATCAGTAATCCTAAGAATTTATTTCTAAATATAAAAAAAGACGTTTGTGTTCTTTTTTCGATAAACATCTACTAGTTTTTTCAAAGCGGCGTAAAAAAAAAAAAGAAGAAAAGAATAGGAAGTTCAATCAATAATTATTTACATGAAAAAAACGGTATCTCTTTGTATTGTCTGCACTGTCAAGCGTTTATGCATTAGTTTCGTGATCGGTCAAATTTTATTATTATCCATAGTATTTTATTATTATCCATGTTTCCTTACCTGCCATGGGCAAAAATAAATATATCGTAAAATTTCGGGGCATTGTTGAAATAGTAACTGAAAACTTGACAATGCAACCGACCAGCATACAAAAGTGTATCCAAATTATTAGTTTATCCTTGTAAAAATAGAAAAGAAAAAAAAAATATTATAGATTTGATATATCTTTAAATAAAAGGGCAAAAAAAGGAGGATCTAGATAAAATGATTTCAAGTTAATGACTGTGCTCTGTAAGAAGACACTGTCGGTCTATGTGCACGCGCTTCGTTCCTTCGTGTAGACGTAAATTGGCCGTTGGAGGAGGAGGGCTTAAATTCCGTTTGTAATCTCTATGCTCGACGAGGCGGTATACCGAGGAAGAAACCACAGACTACGAAGCAGAACGTTGCGATCCCGAGTAGAACACGCCGAGGATACTTTCACGGTTGCTTTGTATCGATAATCGCTGGATATTAGTCGAGAGAAGCGGTCATGAGCTAGACGCTTTGTAACTGGCCTCAATATATATCCAGACCCTACTACTACCTACCTAATATTCTCAACCTTTTTTCCTTTTTTCTCATCTTCCTTTTTCCATTTGATATGTGTGTGCTAAGGACGAAAAATAATATTTTTCTTATTATCCATCTTTCATATTAGTTTCTTTTTTTTTTCCTTTTTTTCTTCTTTTTTTTCTATTGAATTTTCTGTTTATATATAAACATTGTAAGTAAGTAACAAGCGACAGGAAAAATAATTATCTATATTGTTACTGTTGTTGACAAAAGTGAAAGATTACTACCTGAATTACATATTTAGAGGAGCTTAATCCTAACCGACGGATCAGACAAAATCTAAAAATGATTGAATACGTCTAAGCATTTTCACGGTAATAAAACTTCCTTTCTATTCATAGATAAGTAGTTAAGTAAGTATACACATAGCTCTGCCAAGAATAAATGATTTAATGTTTAACAAAAAGATTCGTTGAATCAAATCGTTCATTCTTGAGTCGGCAGAAACGAACAGATATTTTAGAAAGTACGAACCATTTTGCTTCTCCTGACAACGACGACACAACGACGACGACGACGAGGACGAAGATGATGACGACGACAATCTCGGCTTTGAAAGTGCGACATACGTATTACGGAAGATATATTGCTTAAGTTTATAACGGTTTAGCTAATCATCGAGCTCGCGCTCTCGTACGATAGAGACGAGAGTTATTAGCCGACGGGCTCGTAAATTTCTTAACGAAATAGCCTTCCTTCTATCTCATGCGCTATGGATTTTCAAGGAGCCACCTGTACAGCAACTTTACGTAAGTAGTATTTCGCACGATGTTAAAACTAAAGATAAGAACGATTATCTTTTCTTTATTTTATTTCAGTCGATGGGAACACACCGAAATGTATGAACAAAATATGGCATACCGTTAATATTATGCTAGTCGTCATCGTATGCGGTTTACTACCCAAATTCACGTATACCAAAATATATACGGAAATAAAATTATATAATAAAATTATCAGGACAAAATTTCATGCATATGGACTCGTAACAATATTCTTACATAGAGAACGTATTCTTAAAATTTTATCTTGATATAAAAAATCGTCGGAAAACAATATAATCGATGATCGTAAAAGACAAAGAAAAAAAGAGGGAAAGAAGGCGGCAGGCAAAGTAAATTTAAAGTAGTTGTACTTACCGGGTGTCGTGCCGCAGCTGCCACGGCCACAGCTGCCGCATTTATGCCAGCACTGGGGTACATCTTGTGGCGAGAATTCCTCCAAGAGGGTAGGACGAGGCCGCGGCCTTCCCTGGTGATGCCTCCACCTCGTTGCCGTCGCTCCTCGCTATCCTTTTTTTCTCTTCTTATATCACCGTTCTATCCTCCTCAAGTATATCCAGTTATATCCCAGATCATAGCATGTATGCACAATTACTCACTAAGATTAAGATAATAAGAAAAAATAATAACGCGGACGTGTGTAACGTTGCGTGTTACTTCCTCGCTTTGCGCTTTTCTAAACGCTCGATCGCGCACGCACTCTCTTCTCTCTTGCTTCCTTTTTTATTTTATTTATTTCACTACGATACTCCCGTCCTCACACTCTCACATCAAAATTCACTGCAATTATTCACCAAAAATAAGCTTCGTTTTAAACTATTTTGTTTCGTTCAATTATCCGATCGGACGAAAATAAACTGTTAAATACGAACGATCACTTTTAGATAAACACTATGCACATTTGAACTCGCGTGAGAAATTATTACCGCGCAGAAAAATACGACCAAACAACGACCTATCCTCCACGGCGGACGGGTATCAACTAATCAACCGCAGACTCGAGAAGCTTGTCCCCACCACCGCGGCGCTCTCATCCCCTCCACTCACTCGCCGTCGCACCACGTGGTCTCGAGCTTATTCCTGCCTCTCTCTTTCAACATTACCACTCTCTCCCTAACCTTACCCAGACATGAATCGTTTCTTCCGAGTCCCCTACGCTTTCCTTTTTATTCCTCTTTCTCTCTCTCTCTCTCTTCATCTCTCTATTTCTAGACTTCCTTCGCTACATTTTTATTATATCCCCTTATAGATTTAGGTATTATTATAATTAGACTTGAGTTTAGGTATACATTTTTTATATAAATTTAAATATAAATAATATAAAAAAAAATAAAAATCTATCAATATTTTTGTTAACTCTTTCTTGTCCTATAAAATTAATACCAATCTATCTCATTACGTATTTCTCTTCCCTTCAAGAATGGATTGAACGTCAAAATAAAAGGAAATCCGTTTCTTTCTAAGTCCCCTTTCGTTTTCCTTTCCCCTTCAGGAAAAGAAGTAATTCGTCATTCCATTGGCGCGTTCGCCCTTTTCCACGCTCGAATCTATCTCGTTCAAGCTGACGAATCTTCCTTATTCAAGTTAGGATCTCTCTCTGGTCCGTATCAGCCTGCAGCAGTCTGGTTGGCACGTTTTCATTTTCGCTCTTCTTACAGGCGGCCAACCGTTTTCATCCTCGACTTCTCGCAACTTTCACTCACCCTTCTCGTTGTCTCGCTAACGACCGCGACTCTTCCTCCTTCTTCTTCTCTTTTTCAACCCCGTTTCCTAGTCTCTTGTTTCTTTCACAAAGAACACGCGTATCTCTACGTTAGGAGTTTACCCGCATATACGACACTACTACAGAGAATGTAATTCAACCCTCTTCTCATTCTTTTTCTTCGGGTACGGTGCAACCTTCGACGACCTTTCCTCTCGACCCTCAACAAACAGTTATTATCACTCTGCCCTTTCTTGCGCTCGACACGGTGATACTTAATCTTGCCAGCTATTTCGTGGTAGTGGTAGTGGTGGTGTGGTGGTGGTGCTGCTGCTGCTGCTGCTACTACTACGAAAGAGAAGAAGGCAAACGCAACCAAGCAAGCTAAAATACTCGTCTTGTCGTTCTAAATTTAACCGAGGAACGTACTCACCATATATCGAGCTTTTTAAAAAATTCCACGCTTCTACGGAAAAACATTCTCTGTGTGTACCTATGTATATATGTATGTGTATGTTTCTTGTAAAGTTGTATACAATAATAGTTAAGTCCTTATCGCGTTTACCTACTTTTATCTTATAATTAGCCACGTGCAAAAGAGTCTACAACAAAATAACGTTTAAAACGACCTTGCATTGAAAAAACATTTATTTATCATTATACTATGTTCGACAAATTTGTTTGACAATGTCGCCAGAATCATACGAAAAGACAGAATATCATAGATTAATTAAATTATTTATCATTATTAAATCGAATAGTACTAATATTGTGTTGTACTTGAAATAGATAGGAAATAATGTTTTAAAAGACCACGTAAGTTTATAAAATTCGCAAGCATATTGCAAACTTAATGATAGGTAGTACTCAAGGAAAACAACACCAAGGGCGACAGAGATGACGATGATGATCGTTTTATATCGTAGTAGAAAAATATCGCCGTCTGTCGAAGCTCTATCGTCACGTAAATTCTTCCTCGATATCTCTCCCACGACTTATCGACGTATCGTACTCGTAGCGCGGATAAAAAGCTTTGAAAGAATTATTTTATCCCTATCAGATATATTGTACTTACATATATACATACCTCGTACATATGTATATACACACACGTATAGACAAAGTATTAAAAGAAAGATAAGAGTTATCGGATTGTTGACTTCCGAACGAACGACTTCTCAATATATCATCGTTCGAGTAGATCGTTTCTAGTCATCGACTATTTACGTTAGTAATTCACTCTGCAAAATAATACAACACTACGGATCTTTATCCGTTCTTTAAGAGCCTACAGGATAGATTTCTGATACACGTGATAAATCATCAAGAAAATACAAAAGATTTTGCAATATGTCTTTCTTTAATCTCAATAAACGATATTTTGCTAAACATTATTTCAAGGATCGTTTTACACTAACACACCAAAAATTTCATTTATATATCTCCGTGCTATCTTAAAAGTTGGAACAGAAATGTTAAAAGATTACGTGACATTTTTGATAGCCTCATGCATATCGACCCGGTTATCCAGTCGCTTTGGCAAAGTTCATTTGAGCGAAATTTCGATATTTTGCGGTTACAGTAGAAGCGATGAGAGAAAAATAAAAAAGAAGAAGAAAGAAATAGAAATTGTTAACAGAAATATTCTTCTTGGCAGAGTTATATTTTGGTAATAGAATAATATTGAATTTTTCCAGATGTTCGAATTTTTGTTTGAAGAAGATTCGAAAAAAGAAAAATAAAATGACTGGAAACAATTGTGAAAATCTCTCGAATGTCAGATAGAAACTTTGGAAAGGATGAATTCGTTCGGTAAGGCCATTGAATGTAAACGGAATCGTCGTCACGAGGCAAACTCGATGGACCGACGAAACGTGGTAAACGTATGAAGTTCATCTCGGCAGTAGTAGGAATATGTTATAGGCTAGGTATATATGTATTACTGTTTGTATACGCATATGTAGATAGTAGAATGTGTTGGAAGAGAATGGGTGTATATACGTTTGTAGGGTGGCGCGTCATTGGTATCGTCATTGTGAGCAGTACCGTGCTCTCCCATCCATACACATAGATACAATACGTACACATAGGAGTACATTTGTGCAGTTGCCTTGTTGGAAAGCGTGTTTATTGGTTAATTGCATCATTCTTGCCAAGTGCTCGGCTGCCAATTGGCTCGGCCATCAATCGGTGCGTGGTAGGTACACGTCCGCTCGATATCCGGCGAAAGCGTTTCGCGTTACAGAGACGTCAGGATTGTATTTGAACGTGTTTGCGCCCACGTAGATCTTCCTCGATAATTTACCAACCGAACGAACAAAAATTCCTCCATCTAATAAGAATACAACGTATTAAGATAACGCGTGTTTGCTAACAATAAGTTTAATATATACTTATTACGTATCTACCTTTCTGTTTGTTTTCACATTTTCTAAATTAACTTTTTTTATCAAAGAAACCTTTTCATTCTAATCGCATTTCAAATTTTTGTCTACTCGTTAAGATAAAAATATACTTGAAAAACACCATTCGCATCATTTACAAGTGGTCTAGATGTAATCGTTCACGAAGTAGGACGAGAAGCTCTCGTGAATTTTTGATAGGTGGTATACTATATAATATAACAGTGTACTAGATTACACGTTACCTTGTGTATGTTATAGATCGATCGGAATGAATTTAATCGTAAAACGGGGACTCTCGAGGTTATTTCCAGAAACTTCTTTTCTAACTTTTTGTTCTTAAAACTGTTCAGTTAGATTCCGCCATCAATGTAATGACATATACATATATTCCTTGTATCTGATTGAACAATAGGCGGTTAGGTTTATCTTTAAATATTAAAGAAAGATTAAAAGAAGATAAATATCCGATCTTGATCGATAAGAATTATATTTATAATTTAATATTTGTTCTATATATATTTATATATCCATGTAATAAACTTGGTAAATAAGTGTGGATCGTAATTGTATGCGTAAGAGACATATGATATATCAAAGTGTGAATGAAAAGTCATTAGATTCGATAGAAAGATCGTGCCAACACAATGATATCTCTATAGAAAGGAATAGTAGAAATAACAGAAAGAAAATCTTTAAACGTGAACAGAGAGAAAGAAAGAGAGAATCTCTATCTCTGTCGGGTTTTCTCTCTCTCTCTCTCTCTCTATCTCTCTTTCCCTCTTTCTCTACATGGATAATACACGTGTAGTAGGAATATCGGTCGGTAGCTTTGACGATTAATCATCGATAGTTCGTTAGCCTTCCAGCAGGACGGATGGAAAACTCATGGAGAGAAACGATCCGATATGTTGTATCGAGTAGAGTCAGTCGAATCGTACTATCTCTCTAAAGTTGCTTTTGCGGAACAAATCTCGTTAACCCTTTCTCTCAATATTCTTTTTATCAGAAGGAGGAAAGAGTCGATAATAAAAATATTCTTTTATCTGTTAGTCCTCTTTTAACATTTCCTTGACAATTTATCGAGCTTATGTGCTGGTCGACTTATTAATGATACTAAACGGATAGATCTTATAATTTGTAAATAAATCATACTTTTTTGCTTGTTATATTTTCTTAACATTTTCCTGAAAAGGAAAAAAACAAAATAGAAAAAAAAGAAAAAAAAAATAGAGAAAGAAATGCTTGGGGATGAGTCCAAGGATGATAAACGGAGGCTTGGAACTGTACTCCCAGGAACGTAGTAGTAGTAATAGTAGTAGTAGTATATGTCGTGTATCGAAAAAAATACGTTGCCATGCGGTAAACTCTTAACAGGGCGCTCTACCGTAGCGGTGAGTGTAATATAAAAGAACGAACGAGAGTGAGAGAGAGAGAGAGAGAGAGAGAGAGGTAGAAAGCATTATAAGAAAGGGGGAAAAAAGGAAGGTGGAACGTTGGTGGAAGCCGAGAACGAGGGTTTTCGTCGTTGCATCGAAGCGGGGCGAAATGACATTACGTACCGCGAAGGCGCGATGCAGAAAAAGCTCTCGAGCCTCGAGCGACGCTTCGTCGTTGACGGTAACGAAGAGAACGAAATAGAGAAAGAGGAAAAGGGAGAGGAAAAGGGAGAGAAAAAGGGAAGAGAAGGACGATAGTGATGACGACGACGACGACGACGACGACGACGACGACGATGGTGGTAAAAAAGCGCTCGAAAAGTTCTACTATCCAGCTCCGAACGCTTGGCCGGATTCGAGCCTCGTGATTATATTCCTCTCTCTCTTTTTCTCTTTCTGCACTCTTCTTCTCATCCATCGTATCA